GAATCAAGTCCGCCAAAGAATACTGGGTTTTTGTATATTATTTGGTCAACTAGACCGCACTGCAGTTTTTTTTCTATTCTTGACTTCAGGTGTAAAATATTAGACCTTCTGTCAATTAAAAATCTTGTAACCTCTGTGTTTTTGAAAGTGTATCCCGAGACCTCACATTCGAAAACTTCACCGTTTATATGAGCGGAAATCATGTATTATGGTGTTTGAGACATTGTGGAAATTGTGGTGTTTGAATAATGGAGTGTTTCAATGTTTTAGTGTTTGAGTGTGTTTGAGTTTCTTGAGTTTCTTGATAAAGGCTTTATAAAATGGGCTTAGTGTTTTTGCATGTTTCTGAATGTTTGAGTGTTTGATAAAGGCTTTATAAAATGGGCTTAGTGTTTTTGCGTGTTTCTGAATGTTTGAGTGTTTGATAAAGGCTTTATAAAATGGGCTTAGTGTTTTTGCATGTATCAGTAAAGTTCTGCCATTCACTTGTCCCGTTTGCTCTATAATCAATGACATGCAAAGTTCTGCATTTACATGTGATGTTCAAGTCAGGAATCTCTGCCTGCCTTTCATTTATCACGCATGCTCCATAATCAATAACGTGAACGGCAGACTTGATATGAAGTGACAATGCAAAGTTCTGCATTTACTTGTGATGTTCAAGTCAGGAATCTCTGCCTGCCTTTCATTTATCACGCATGCTCCATAATCAATAACGTGAACGGCAGACTTGATATGAAGTGACAATGCAAAGTTCTGCATTTACTTGTGATGTTCATTTATCACGCATGCTCCATAATATGAACAAAGTATAATATGGAAAATAGTATAATATGAAATAAATCACACTACGATGAATAAAAATATTATATGCAATGAAGGAACCACAAAACGTTTAATAAAAAATATTATATAATATGATGAAATAAATCACACTACGATGAATAAAAATATTATATAATATGATGAATAAAAATATTATATAATATGATGAATAAAAAATCACACTATGCAATGAATGAACCACTGTATGATTAGACGAGACAGTGAAGGAATCTCCTTTTTTCACATGTGATCTGCATCCCTACATTGACCATGCAGGCCTACGAGCATCTGCTTTCTGCATGCAACAGGAGTTGATTAAACGGGACACTGCATTACAATAAATGCCATGCAGCCTGTTTGATTAGACGCTACACTGAACGAATCTCCTTTTTCGCATGTGATCTGCATCCTTTTACAAAAAATACACTGCATTTACACATGGCTGAAGCCAAGTGCTCAGCGTGCACTCACACAACACATATCTCACACCAAGTGTCAAGCATGCACTTACACCATATCCACTCTTGGAATATAAATATGGGGTATTTACCCATCAAATTTTACTCACACTTAAAGTCTCCTACTCTCAAACTCGCAAACTCTCAAAGTCTGAAACTCTTAAACTTTCAAACTCCCAACTCTCGACAATGTCTCTACTAACCATGGGTGATTCTCACAGAGGGACGGCTGAAAACATCGCTGAGTTTGTAAGTCTTTTGTTCATGTTTATGTTTTACCATTTTGTCTAAAAAAACTATAGTAATTTTACCTCTTCTCTAACGTAACCTTCATTATTCTGCAGGATGTATCAAGGTTTCGGTGTCGTGTGCATGATTACATACCACACGACCCGCTCATTACGAACTATCTTATTCATTGTGGGTTTGGGCATTTGATCGAAATCAAATCTTACTCCCTCGACACCAAATTTATTCTAGAGTTGTTAGAACGCTGGAGACCGGAGACACATACATTTCACCTTCCTTTTGGTGAGTGTACTGTGACTCTTCAGGACATTTACATGTTGCTCGACCTACACATTGATGGTAAGGCCGTCAACGGCAAAGTTGGTGTCCCTAACCGACTTTGTGAAGATTTATTGGACGCCCCTCTTTGTGAGGACGGACCTCAGGCGGCAAGCGAGGGCCGCCCGAGGGGTCAGGGTATTAACTTAAAATACCTAAGAGAACAATACAACCGTATTGTTTTAACGGATGATAGCACCGAGTATGAGAAAATACTCAAAACTCGGTGCTATATTATGATTTTATTTGGGCACTTTTTATTTCCAGACGACACTGGAAATACAATCCATACTATGTATTTACCATTATTATGTAATATTAACAAAGTGTGTGAATATAGCCGGGGATCAGCTGTCCTCGCCCATCTATATAGCGCACTTTGTAAGACTTCCAAAAAAATTCTTGTACTTTTTTTGGTTGTGCTTATCTTTTGCAAGCGCGGGGTTGGTCGAGGATGCCAATGCTTGCTCCAATAAACAAGAATTCTTTTACGTTCCCCTACGCAAACAAGTAAGTATCTTTTCAAGATTATTTAGCAGCTACATATTCTATTTCAGTTAATAATTTCTGACTTGTGTTTTTTTTAGGTGGTCTGTACCCGGGATGAATTATCAGAAATGTCCAAGGCACTCTATAATTCAATACCGCAACCTAATCGACCACCTTGGGCTAAACGATGTAAGCTATTTACCATAAATTTTTTTAATGTATATGCATAAACTTCACAGTCTCTGTCTAACTTAATTTTACAACTATATTGTAGTTTGTCTGGATGCCGTACGAGGGTCTCGACCACCAGCCCAACCCCGACGATGCCGCTGTGTGGACATCAAAGACACCTATAATTAGGTTCACTACGGTGGAGATGCACCAAAGTGACCGGGTGAAACTTCAATTTGGGATGCATCAAGATATTCCGGATGCTCCCGTAGACTTGGGGAAGTGGCATCAAAAGCGGGTAGACGCACAGTGGATGGTTGGTGATTGGAAGGAGTTTGCAAAGGAGTTGCGTGTACACTGGAAAAGAAGAAGGCAATATGTCTTAACCGACAGTATTGTGCACGGGGCTAGGCCAAGTCTTCAATATATGACTTGGTTTAGGTCTGTCATGACATCCCAGCCTTTCCTGTCCCAGCCAACCTATTTGGCCGATCTAAGGGAACGCGATTCTTCATCATACCCACAAATACCAACAGACACCCTTATCAACAACAACCACCATACGAAAACCAATCCATGCCAACATATACCCCCTATCAACAACAACCACCTTACATGCCACCAACCCAATCTCAGCCTCAACCATCTTACCAGTACAACCCTGATATGTCTTTTGATCCTACCCCTGCCACCTATAGCCCGTACAACTCATTTGACCTTACCCCCTCCAACTACACCTCCAACCACCCACTATTTGACTACCACACCCCACAACAACCAACACACTTAGACCAACCCAACTCCATGTACACTTTCGGACAACAATACCGTCCATACTCCACCCACCCTCCCCAACAATCGTACGAAAACATGGCCATTGGCCTTGACTACGGAAGCGCATGTGACATGGATGGGACCTCCCGGCTACTGGGGTCAAATGATACAAACGCTATCTGATGCGTCGGGGCCGTCACAACCATACCCTCCTCCATAACTCAACACACAGAGACCGGACACACCACAGCAACCTCGTCGAAGACCTTGTCGCAACACGCGTCCCCCCAATGTGGCACCGGTGGTCACTTGGATAGAGCCGATCATTAGTGTTTTTTTGTTTGTAATTTTCAGAATATTAATATTTTTGTTGATGTATTTTTACTTATATTATAAATTAATATATTTTCTTTTTATGGTTACTAATAATATATTTTATGGTTACTAATATATCTTAATTATATTAATATTATTTATATTATAAATTAATATATTTTATAGTTACTAATAATAATATTTTAATTATATTAATATTATTTATATTATAAATTAATATATTTTATAGTTACTAATAATAATGATATTAAAATCAAAAAACAAATAAATTTTTAAAACTTTAAATATATGATAAAAAATACAAGAAAAACAAAAAAAAATTGGAAACCCTAAAAATTAGCCACATTCGCCAATTCATGTGGCGACAACACATTGACCAATTCCCAAATGGCCTAATTCGCCATTCCATTTGGCGAATGTCTTGAACCAACATTTTAACTAATTCGCCAAATTATTTAGCGAATGTTTGGTGATGAGTTTCAAAATTTGTCATTTTGATAATTTTTTTGAAAGTTTATTTTATTTGATAATTAAATTATATAACATTGCTACTTTAAAAAAAATTTTACTGTTATAATTGAATGACATAAAAAAATGAATTTATTGTAAAGTAATTATAATTAAAGCATATCATAAAAATATGAATTTAATTCACATATTAACTATAAATAATTTTCACATGGTTAATCAATCATTAAAAACCATTTAATTTCCATTATAATCATATTTAAAACCATATACATACAACTGTCATGTGATCACACTCCATCAAATTTAAACTCAACCCATTTTATATTGAATATATATATAGAACTAAACCAATTTTATAAAATAAAAAACAAAAACCTTTTTATAATGAAAAATATCTCCCATGTAAGCCAATAAACTTTGTCATACTCCCGAACATAAAATTGACACTCCCCTACTCCCTCAAACATTTCCTCCATAGCCACCGGAGACTTGTTCGCCTTCTACAACATTTACCGTGGCTACTCCTCAGTTAAACCGATTTAACCGTCCTTTACCTTCAGCGCCGGAAGCCAAGCTAAGCCGAGCCACCTCAGTTTCACTCAAACCCAAACCAAACCCTCCAATCACTTATCTTAAGCCGCGCCACAATACAAGCTTCTAATTGAAAAAAACATCACGCGTCTCTCTCTCTCTCTCTCTCTCTCTCTCTCTCTCTCTCTCTCTCTCTCTCTCTATTATATCTCTCTCTCCGAGTAATTTCAGCGTCTGAAAATTTTCTGCCGTTGACGAACACCATGACCGGAAACCGAGATCTCCGGCGACAATTTTTCTTCTTCCTCTTCTAAACGACACCGTTTTAAACCGATCTGAAAAACAAAATTCTCATCATTATCATTATCATCATTCATCATGGAAGGTGAACAAGTAAACGTTATAATTGACCTAGTCAATGAGATTTCCAACATCTCTGACTTCAGGCCTATGGTGAAGAAACAGTATTGTAATTTAGCACGAAGGTTGAAGCTCTTGATCCCTTTGTTCGAGGAGATTCGGGATATGAAAGATTCAATCCCTGATCACACTTCAAAAGCTCTGATTTTGTTTAAACAAGCTTTGGAATCAGCTAGGGAGCTTCTCAGATTTGGAAGCGAAGGAAGCAAGATTTACATGGTTTGTTACTTTCAGAGTTTCAGTTATTTATTTTTAGTAGTAACATAGTATATTTGAAATTGGGTATATAAAGTTTTTGTTTTTAGCAAAAAAAATAAAATTTATTTATAGTACTAATTGGTTATTTGGGAATGGATTTTTCTATATTTTTTATTATGACTGTGATGCAACTGCAAAGTACTGCTTTTTTTTTTTTTCTCCCCTTAAATTGAATAGAGGAGTTGATTTTGTTTATGTAATTGATTTTTGATTGAATTTGTGTTGGTGATTATGATCTGATTTTTCTAGTCTAGTTACGTGTTTTTTTTTTAATTAGATTTGTTTATGCTGGATGAGTGAAATGAAACCTTCATATTTATGGATTTTTGTGCTGAATTGGTTATTGAGGATTGGTTGCATGGTGTGGGTTAGGAAGTGTAAAGAGAATGAATTTCTGAGTTTTGAGCTTGTTTGGTGTTCAGTGTTTTGGATGGTATCTCTTGAAGTTACAAGGCACAAAACTACAGCTGTTCAAGGTGTAGGACAGTTTGTAACATTGCTTGGTTCCAGATAATTTTTTTGTTGTGTCTCTGGGCTTGTTTTTTTTAAACTGGGGAAAGAAATATTTTCTTTCATTCATTTCTATTTTTAAATAGACTTTTGATGAGGAGTTGAGTAAATATTTTTCTATGCCTTTTCTTTCTTCGGTTGAGAGTTGAGATGCTTTCTTCACTCCGGATAGGAAATTGGTAGATGTGTCTTGCACACATGAACACTTGAGTTGAGAGACAGAATTTTCTAAATTCTGGGAATTTCTCGCGGAAAGATTGTATTGTGGGCATTCCCTTTTGGAGCTGGTGGTATTAGTTGATCTAGATTACCAAACTTTTTACATCTGTTGTTAAATTATGGATCATGATCAGCGGTTTTCGTATGACTAAATTCTGGGAATTTCTCGCGGAAAGATCATATTGTGGGTGTTTTTTTTTATTTTTTTAACTTGGATAAAATTATAACTGTTTGGTGGTTCTGGTTCTGCCTCAATGGTCCACACGTGGTCCAAATGCTTTGGACCATTGTTATTTACATAGTTCTGGTTTCTGTTGTGTGGGGCTCTGCAGAGAAAGTTAAAAAATGTAAAAAAATGTAGAGGTCGGGGAAGAGTATTTTTCAGTAATGGTGCCCACAGTGGTTTAAGCATTGCTATTGCCGTATTTTTTTAGAAATTCTTTGTCCATGTAAATTAATTGTGTCTCGTGGGACTTTGAAAAGGGACTTTGAAAAGGTCAAACTAGTTCAGGTTTATACTAAATTAAGCAACTAATAGTTTAATACAATTTACAATGTTTGTACTATTTGCAATCTAAATAATGTTGTTTATTTAATAATTATCAGTATTGTATTTCTCTTTATCTATATGGAAACCTCACCATGCTTACCGCTCAATCTTCTTTGTGGATCACACTCTTGTAGTCATGAGTTAAATAACAGGTATTTAACTCACCATGCTTACATAAGAGGTATTTCATATACTTGTTTTGACCTTTGTTTGCTTACAGCTCAATCTTCTTTGTGAGTCACACTCTTGTAGTCATGTCATGAGTTTAACAATATATTTAGAGAGCATTATGAAAACTTAATTCTAGAAAAAGGATATGCAGTGCTTTAGATGTTGTTTCAGTTGTGTTGACTCATGTTTTCAGGTCCTTGAGCGAGACCAGATTATGAACAAATTCTATGACGTGACAGCTCGGTTGGAACAATCACTGGATGGAATTTCCTATGATAAACTTGATATATCAGATGAAGTTAAAGAGCAGGTATAAATAAAGACTTCAATTGTATATATTTATTGCTTGGGTGCAACACTGTGAATCTTAACTCTTTATAATAGAATGGACACTGCCACACTATGGATCTTAATTTTTTACATTTTTGTTATTCATATAATCTTGTCTAATTGTCGCTATCATTTCAGGTTGAACTAGTTCTTGCTCAGTTTCGAAGAGCAAAAGCGAGAGTTGATGAACCAGATATCAAGTTGTATGAAGATATTTCATCCCTTTACAACAATAGCAGTGACGCAGCAACAGATTCAGCTGTACTAAGTCGACTAGCCGACAAATTGCAATTGATGGGAATAGCCGATCTTACTCAAGAATCACTCGCTTTGCATGAGATGGTGGCAGTAAGTAGTGGGGACCCAGGGGCGCGCATTGAGAAAATGTCAATGTTATTGAAGAAGATAAAGGATCACGTGCAAATAGAAAACCTTGTCAAGGACGATACTATAATAGCAAAGGGCGTTTCTTCAGGATTTCAAGGACTAGGGAAAAATGATATGAATCATCAGGCTGCTGTTATCCCAAGTGATTTTAAATGTCCGATTTCCTTGGAATTGATGACGGATCCTGTCATTGTTTCAACAGGACAGGTATGTACATTCTATGATACCCTCTGACGGCTATTAAGGTTTGATCATTTCATTATCATTCTTGACTTTCAAATTCGAATGTTCTTATCTTGCATCTATGTTTGCTTGAATGTAACATTGCTGTTAACAAAATCACACGCTTTGCACAGTTTTCTTAGAAGATCTAAAGGTCTACTTGGTTTCAGAAAACTAGAAATAATCTGTTTCCACTTAATAATTGTAAAAAATTGTCTTGTTTTCACTTTATATTTAGTTTTCAATTTTTTGTTCCTGAAATAGTAAAGCCTTTTCCCCATTAAGTGGATGATCATTCTCTCATTTAATTACCAAGAGAGGGTCATGTTTAGAAAAAGAAAGAAGCAAAAGCAAAATGGCTGTCCCTACTTTATCTTGAAAATTCTTCTCTAAGGCTATTGAACTTTAATTGAGTTGGACACGTTGCAAAATGTACAATTGCTTTCTATATTGATGGATTTCTTTGGAACATGACTTTTAGTTAAATTTTGAATGTTTGTATAAAAACCGAAGGCTACATGATGGTTCCTGTGTGCATTATTGGCATTTTACTCGTGTCAGAGTCAGTTTGCTGATAACTGTCTATTTACACTAAGATGCATCTTGTTCTCATCTGCAGACTTACGAGCGTTCCTGTATTGAGAAGTGGTTGCAAGACGGGCACATGACATGCCCAAAAACACAGCAGTCTCTCACCAGTACTGTTCTCACACCCAACTATGTCTTACGCAGCCTGATAGAACAATGGTGTGAAGCCAATGGCATAGAGCCACCAAAACGACCCAGCACTTCTGAGCCAAGTAAATCAGCATCAGCCTGCTCCCCAGCTGAGCGAAGTAAGATTGAAAATCTAATTCAAAAGCTCACATCTGGCGGTCCTGAAGACCAGAGATTAGCTGCTGGCGAGATCCGCCTTCTTGCAAAACGCAATGCAGATAATCGCGTAGCTATTGCTGAAGCTGGTGCAATACCTCTCCTCGTTGGTCTCCTCTCTGTGCCCGACTCCCGAACTCAAGAGCATGCTGTAACAGCGCTTCTGAATCTTTCCATACATGAGAGTAACAAAGGAAGCATTGTCTCTTCAGGAGCAGTTCCAGGCATAGTTCATGTGCTGAAGAGGGGAAGCATGGAAGCTCGGGAAAACGCGGCTGCAACACTTTTCAGCCTTTCAGTTATAGATGAAAATAAGGTTACAATTGGTTCTTCCGGAGCCATATCACCACTGGTGACACTGCTGAGCGAGGGTACCCAAAGGGGTAAGAAAGACGCTGCCACAGCACTCTTCAATTTGTGCATTTACCAAGGAAACAAGGGAAAGGCAGTGAGAGCTGGTGTTATTCCCACGCTGATGCGACTTCTGACAGAACCTAGCGGGGGAATGGTGGATGAAGCATTGGCCATTTTGGCAATTTTGTCTAGTCATCCCGAAGGGAAGTCTGCCATTGGTGCTGCAGAGGCAGTGCCGGTGTTGGTAGAGTTTATTGGGAATGGATCCCCAAGGAACAAGGAGAATGCAGCTGCAGTGTTAGTTCACCTTTGTTCTGGCGATCGACAGTATATAGCGCAGGCAGAGGAGCTGGGGGTGATGGCTCCATTGTTGGAATTGGCTCAAAATGGTACTGACAGAGGTAAAAGAAAGGCAACACAATTGATAGAGCGTATGAGCAGGATCCGGGAGCAAGAACAGCATGAAGTTCAGATACAAGCTGAACTTCTACCTCAGAATGATGATATCCAACCACCACCTTTGATCATTAACCTCGACATTGACACCTGAAATGTTTTGTTTATACCTTAAATGTTTATTTTGCTTTTACTAAAATGTGTTTGTAAAAGAGGCATCGGTTCGGTGGAAAAGGTGGAAGATCACCTTCCTGCTCCATTAAGTTATTCATTTGTTTGTTCGTGTGATATACATTGAGAGACAAAAGGCCATTGAAAGGAGGAAGACAAGAACTGAGAAGATGAGATTGGTGTGAGATTGGTGTGCCTGACGTGAAAAGTATAATTGTACAATGTAATGTACCTATTCTAATCATCCTCAATATATTTAATGGAGTGATGTTTCGTGTATTGGCATGATAAATTTGTTGGTGTATTTTCACCTATTGAAAACATTGATTTATAACTTGATTGCGACACTTTGGTTCCTTCTGTTAGTTTGTGACAAAAAAACATTAGTTTATGTGAGGTGGCATGTCAAGTAAGATTCCACATCACCATATGTATACGTTGCGTTACATAGCGTTCCATATTTCATTGTTGCTGCTTCATTCTTCTTCCACCATTCTTCTTTATCCGTGTTTCATATTTCAACCTATTCCATCTTCATCTTCAGTTAAATTCCTTTCTTCCAATTTTCTTCTACCATCTTCCAGTTTCTTCTGCAATTTGAGAATTAGGGTTGAAGCAATGTCAAAGAGTGCAAGAAATGCGTCAACTTCAAACAACCATAGCTATGACACATCTGGATCTTTGATTCATAGAAACAAGAGGATCAAATGCTTTTGCCAAGATGAAAGTGTTCTTAATGTGAATAGTGTCAACAAGGGGAGAAAATTTTGGGGTTGTAGAAATTACAGAAATCACATTAAAAAGGGTTGTAATTTCTTCAAGTGGTTGGGTGTTGTTTATTGATGAAAGGGATTTGAAGCTTGAAAGACAAAAGAAGAAAATTAACTGATTGAAGAATGAAGTTATGTACACTCGAGGGTGGCTCAAAATGTCCATTGTTGTTGGGATTGTAAGTTTAAGGTTGAACCTTGCGTTTGTAAAAATGTATCTCAATTAGTTTTAGGGTAGTTCTAAGTTATGTTTTTATGTTTGTAATAATGTACTGTTATGTTGTAACAAATTGATGAGTTTGTTTAATGAATAATGTTCTGTTAAGTTGTTTCAATGAATAATATTTGTGTTTTGTTTTCACATTTTCATTGAATAATGTCTCAATATCCAACCTGTAAAATATGCAGCCCAATGACCAATATTTGTGGAAACAAACTGTAATATAAGTTGTTAAACATGTTTGATACATAACAGGTTCATTGAATAATGTCTCAATATCCAATCTGTAAAATATGCAGCCCATTGAATAATGTTTCTTAACAGGTCCAATAAAATGTTTTGATACATAACAGATTCAATAACATGTTTGATACATAATAGGTTCAAAAACATGTTTCAAAGTTTGATACATAACAGATTCAATAACCATTCCAACATTCAATAATAGTTTCGATATTTGATACACAACAGGTTCAATAAAACAAGGCAATTATAAGGCAATACATAACAAGTTCAAATACCAAAAGGTCATTGTAAGGCATTACATAACAGGTTCAAAACCAAAAGGTCATTAAAAGGCAATACATAACAGGATCATATACCAAAAGGCCATTGTAAGGCATTACATAACAGGTTCAAAACCAAAAGGCCAATAAAAGGCAATACATAACAGGTTCATATACCAAAAGGCCTTTGTAAGGCATTACATAACATGTTCAAAATTAAAAGGCCATTATAAAGCCATTAAAAAAAACAAAGGAGTCAAACCATTAATTGGCATTACAAAATTCTAGTAAACATAATAATATTGATCGTGGTTAGCTTGAAACAGGCTTGGCACCCTTATGAAGTTTTTTCTTAGTTTTGGGTAGTGGCTGACTTGTAACAACAGGTGGTGGTGGTTGACTTGTAACACATTATGGTGGTGGCTGACTTGTTGCAACAGGTGGTGGTGGTTGGCTTGTAACAACTTGTGATGGTGGTTGACTTGTTGCAATAGGTGGTGATTGACTTGTATTATCTTGTGATGGTTGTTGACTTATTGCGGCTTGTGATGATGGTTGACTTGTTGCAATAGGTGGTGATTAACTTGTATTAGCTTGTGATGGTTGCTGACTTATTGCATCTTGTACCTGACTTGAGCTAGCTCGTGGTTGTGGTAGTTTATAAGTGGCCTTGTTGTGACCATCCTTGTGGTACCGACTACACTTTATACCATGTCTTTCCTTCTTCATGTGTGTCTCATCCCTCACCATCTCTCTAGCTTTCCTATTTCTTTTTTTCTTTGGCCTTCCAGGCTGCCTCTTTATTGGTGGTGGCTGAAGATCAACAACACTAGTCTTTGCCCACAAGGCTTCCCCATTAAGTGGATATATCACATGTGCATAGCAAGCAGCATATTGTTATTTCTTATAACAGTCAGGTACAAAGTCATCAATCTTCAAATGTTGATCTTTCATGCAAGACGTTGCATGACAGCAAGGAAGTCCAGTTAGCATCCATAATCTACATGAGCATTCTTTCTTGTAAAGGTTGACAACATATTTTTCTTCATTGAGTGAAGTATGTCTCACCTCATATTCATATTCATCTGCACGCCTGTAAACAAGTAACCATTAACAATGATAGTCAATGTAAACAGTTAGCAATTTGAAAGTAATGTTACCTCACAATCCAATAATTGGTTTTCCGTGACTCCATTTCCATCCTCTTCTTGATGTTAGGTAGTATGATGCCATCATATTTGGTAATTTTTTTGCCTATTGAATTCCCATCTCTGCATTATGTATACTCTAATTTCTTCCAGCATTGTCACAATGGGTTTGGATCTAGCAGCCACAAATATAGAATTGAATGCCTCTGACATATTGTTAACCAAAGTTCACAACTTGAACTTGACCGAAACCTTGATTTGCTCTAGAATCTTGGTGGAATTTTGATGAGGTGTTTGAAGGTCTCTTCATTAACTCCTTTGATTTCAAGCATTATTTTCTCCCAATCTTTAACATAACTTGCACATGTAGCCCTCCACATCAACTCCTTTAATTTCAAGCTAGGGAACATTTTCCTGAAGTTACTATACAAATGTCTGCAATATAAAGTAAGTGTAAACATTACCAAGTATGTCATATTCAATATGTAAGTTACAAAGGTGAGAGTAAACATTACTTAACTGATCAACATTGCCAAGTAATTCATCAAGAGCTGGCAGCAAACCCTGCATCCATAAATAAGTAAGAATGATGATGAAAATAAAACAATTGGCTAACAATTACATTTCAAGGTGAGAGTTTAAAACCTAACCTTTTGTTGATCACTAATGAAGGCATATGTTCTACACAACCCGAATCCTCTCAAATCAGGTATCAATAACTCTAGAAACCAGCTCAATGAGTCTTTAGTTTCACCCTTAACAACAACATATGCAATTGGAAGCATTTGGTCACTTGGGCACTTACCAATAGCAGCTAGTATTTGTCCTCCATAGTATCCCTTTAATAAACAATCATCTAATCCTATAATAGGTCTGCATTTGAAAAAACTTTCCTTGCAAGTTTTGAGACAAACATACATCCTTTGAAAGTGAGGATTCAATTGAGTAGAGTTTTCACTGCTTTCCCTTTGAACTGGTGGCTGACTTGTAATCTTCAAAGTTGATCCTGGGTTTGCCCTCAATAGTTCATGGCCATAATCATAAATTCTTCTATACTGCTCTCTAAAGTAACCATCCACAATATCAACAACTAGTGTTCTAGCTCTATATGTCAATGTCTTGTTAATCCCAACATTCCACTTTTCATATTCTTCTCCATAATATCAGTCAACTTCAAAGCTGGATTCTCTCTAACACTTGTTTGAATCTTCTTGCCCAACCATTTTGAATTGAGGAATCTAATCTTATAATCCCTACTATAAGTATGCTTGTCCACAATTGTCCTCAATTGCCAAGTCTCCTGACTTTTAATATTTGCACACTAAGCCTCCCACGGGCAACCTGCCTTACATTTAACTCTCATTCTTGCCTTATCATTTTTGGTAAATTTCGAGTTCCTTCCTGAATGAATGGCATATGTTCTTATTGCCTCTTGAAACACCCCCTTTGTAGAAAACAATGTACCAAGTTCCCATTTGCAGTATTCCATTCTTTTTGGAAGCTTAAAGGTTACAAAATCATCCTTTACAACCTCATCATTCTCACGGTCATACTCAGTAGGCATTTTATCATTGTCATACTCCCCTATGTCACCTAAACCTCTCAAATTGTCCAGATTTACCTCACCATCATTATCTTCACCTACATCCCTAACAATGACCTTTTCCTTTCCCTTTCTCTTTCCTGTTACCTTTTCCATGATTTTTTCCATTGCCTTTTCCCTTCAACTTACTTATTGCATTCACTTTATTCTCATCAATTTCTATCTCTCCATCAATACCTATGTCATTCTCTGAGTCTTCAAATTTTACATTCAAAGCACTGTCATCACTTATATCTTCTTGGTTACAGTTGACTACCTCATCTGGTTCTTGGTTATAATTGACTACCTCATCTTGTTCTTGGTTACAGTTCAGTCCTTCATTGATTTCATCCCCTCCACCATTCATCCCTACATCCACATTCTCCTCCATTTCGCCGGTGGTCCCCAAATCATCCATATTGTTACAGTTTGTCTCCTCTTGACCAACATTCATCTCAGTTTCAAAGTTGGTCCTCACATCACCCATATTTTCCTCAATTCCAACATTATCTTCAATCCCAATATTCTCCTCAACTTCATTAACTCTTGTCCCCTCTTCCACCACATTTTCTCCCAGTGTGGTCCCACATTCATTACTCCCCCTTCATATACTTCACCAACCACATCCTCAGTCACTGTGGTCTCATCCTCATTATTAACCATATCAGGCCCTTCAACACACATTTCTTCACCCAATATGCTCACATGTGGTAGTGAGAGTATGGGCTCCTCAATAACATCAGGATGTGTAACATAC